CAGGCATTTCAATTCAGCAAATTATTTATTGACTGAGGTTGAGCAATGTCTTGGAAGGAGATACAGTGAACAAAACAGACCAAAAAAAAAAAAAAAGCCCTCTCTGCCCTAGTAGAGCTGGCATTTTAGGGAGGAAGGAGTGAAAGAGAATAAAACAACAGCAGACTTGTAGGTAAGTGAATGATTTGTTACTTCTTGTTGTCAGGGACAGTCCAGTTGAGAACAACTCATAGTGACCCTCAAAACAACAGATTTAACCCTGACCTATCCTGTGCCATCTTCACAATCTCTGACACACTTGAGCCCATTGCAGCAGCCTCTGTCCACCTATCTGCTTGACAATCTTTCTCTTTTTCACTGTCCCTCTATTTTCCAAGCATGATGTTCCATCAATGACTAGGCTGTCCTAGTAACATGCCCAGAATATGTTAAGAGGAAGTTTTATCATCTTTACCTCTAAGGAACACTCTGCTGCTCTCTCTCCAAAACCTATGTTTGTTTTTTAGCAGTCTGTGGGTTCTTTAGTAATCTCCAGCAGTGCAATTCAAAGACATCCATTCTTCTTTTGTCATCCTTATTCATTGTCCAGCTCTCAACAGCATAGCATGTGATTGAAAAGACCATGGCCCGAAACAGGTGTACCTTCGGAAAGTGATAAATAATAAGAGGAAAAGGAATAGTAGTCTCAGAGTGTTAGAAGTGTGGTGGGGAGAGACAAGGGGCCCTATCAGAATATATTTGGCCGTAGTAAGCTTCACATGCATATGTTAGCTCTCAGACATCACTGCCTCCCTTGAGCCTTAGTTGCATCGTCTGTAAAATGAGCTGATAGAGGTCCACCTCACAGGCATTTTTTATTATCTGAGCAGAAGGTATCAAATGTTTGACATCCAATAGGACCTCCACAGCTCCTACCTCTCCAGGTTCCCTCCCACCTGGAATTATGATTATCTAGGCAGAGCTGCCCACCAGAGCTATTTACAGTGATAGAATGTTCGAATAAGGTCAAGTTAACCACTGGCCACATGTGACTAGTTTGATTTGGGAATGGAATTTGAATTTTGGTGTCTTTTAAATTTAAAAGAGAACAAGAGGAAGACCCTGTGTGAGATGGACTGATAGAATGACTGCATCCAGGAAGCAGAGATGGTGCACTGATGGCGCAGAACTGGCAGGGTTTTGGTCTGTTGTAGGCAGAGTCGTTCGTTATGTGTTGGAGCTGATTTGATAGTATTTAACAAAGAAGATAGCTTGGGCTGCTGACCTCTGGGAGGTGTCTGCCAGAGAGTAGAGGGCTGGGAACTGGGCCCATGGGTTTTCTTCTGTCCTTAGAGCTTTGTCATTCTAATCTTTCCTTGGAAGCTGGGCAGTTTGTGGTCTGACACCTGGGCTATGAGGCACAGATGCTTGGCTGACCGCGTGGACACCTGTGCACTCGGGCATGCGTAGAGCATCTGCTGTGATTGTGGGCAATGCTGGCTTCTCTTGCATCCACTGAACTCGGGCTGGCATTTGTCCCTGCCATTGCCAGGGGGTCTGGCATTTGAGTCCCATGCTAGAAGCTGGCAGATGTCTTGCACTGACTGGGGCAGGGGTGGGTACTCTGTCCCCTCCTCCCCCCACAAGCTCTGCTCCTGTGCCTGGGGCCTGGCATGTCTAGGCTGGTGGATGGCACCGGGCAGTTTCCTGTCTGGGTGGGTGAGGGGTGAAGAAGGTGTTGCCAGGCTCTGGTGGGAAGCTCAGCTGGGGTGCGGGGTGGGAATCCGTTCACCCGGCTCCAAGGCCTCTGCGCGAGCTCCTCCTCGCATTGCATCGATGGTGCAGCTGACCAAATTGCAGCATGGACTTTTTTAAGCAAATTGCCTCTCTTTCCCAGGTTTCAGTTTCTCCATCTGCAAAGTGGGGCTGTTGAGTGGGGTTGTGACCCATTAGGGTGGAGCCAGCTGGAGCCCTGCACCAGGCTGGGAATCAGCTCTGCTCCCATTAAACTCGCCCATTCGCCTGGGGCGGCCCCCATTTCTTTCTTCTGCCTCCTGCCACCACTTTCCTCTCGCAGCCTCAGCTGGGCCTGGTCCCTGTAGTGCTGGGAGGTGGGCGGGGCCACAGGCCTTTTTAGCAGTTGCTCTCTGCGTGCTGATTGGCTCTCTGTGAGGCAGAGGCGTGGCCTTCACCTTATAATAGAGAAGAAGGCTTCAGCCCTTCAGCTTTGGCTGAGCCTTTGTCTGAAGGCGCTCAGCCTCTTTTCCTTTCTTTTCCTGCAGCCGTTGCCGGCATCCAGCTGCCAACTTTCTGCCTGGATCTGCCTCATCTCTCCGGATCTCCTTAGACAGAAGCCCTCGGGGTATGTAACAGCCATGCCTATGGACACGCTGGCCTCTTCGTCCCCTGCTGCCCCAGCCCTACCTTTCCGCCTTCGAACCAAGGTCCCCGGGTACCTGCTTCGGCGGCCAGCAGATGGTGGGGCCCGGAAACCCAGCGCCGTGGAGCGCCTGGAGGCGGACAAAGCCAAGTATGTCAAGAGCCTGCACGTGGCCACTACCCGCCAGGAGCCGGTGCAGCCCCTGCTGGCCAAGCAGCCACTCTTCAGCCCCGGGACTCGCCGCACAGTGCTCACCCCGAGCCGCCGAG